CCAATCAGATAATCTCCTTCTAGTTAATTCTACCCGCTTAGAGCTTATTTTGCCCTCCCTGTCCCTAAACTCCAGTGCTTTGAAAAACTCTGCGCCATCATCCTGAACTATAGGGGGAAGCCCTTTACAGAACATTATCAAGTGTTCGGCAGTTTCTTCTTCCTCTCCACACGCACTGCATACCGTGTCTACCCCTTCGTATTGGGCCCGATATGTCTTGGTTCGCAATACTCCCGTCCTGGCCTCAAACAGTAGAGAACTGCCCCTTGTATTATCATAGATCCTTTCCTTGACAATTTCCTGCTTAAAAGTTTGATAGATCTCTAGTGCAGACTTCTTAATCATACCGATTCTCCACATATCGGTCTCAGCTTCCTTCAACTTCTTCTTAACCGATAATTCATTTTGGTTTGGCCCCCTGCTGTTTTCTAAGTATTTACCAGTCAATTTTTTGGTTCGCTTCCTCCATTTTGTATCGACATTCTTCATGTACAAGTAGCTGAATACCTTCCTAGCCCAACGCGTCTCCCCCATTTCTCTCAATCGCTTCTCATATTTTATCTTGCTGCTAGCTTCCCTGCCCTCAAATGATGTCCATCCCATATCTCCTTGTACTCCCTGATTTGGTGTATTCCCGTGAGCTTCTAAGGCAAGCCTACCTATTCCACGTTGCTTAATTTATAATCTTGCTTGAACTTCTGATCTCACGCACAAGACCGCCTTGCCGAACGTCAGAGCAGGAACCATGACTCCTTTCCATATTCCTCTCACAACATGATACCTATTGTAATTCCACAGTGTCCTGTTTTTCATTACCAGTGCATTCCTGTTACCTTTAGTCGTCACGTATATTTCATGATCCCTTAGGTACTCGGCCACATTGCTTATCCATACGCCCAGATATTTGTATTTATCTCTTATCTCTAGCGTGACGTCTTGTATTCTAAGCTCACTACCTTCATTGTCATGAAAAATCATGACTGCTTATTTTTCCTTACTGAATCTGAAATCTAACCTATCTCCCTCATTACCGCAGATGTCCACCAATCTCTGCAAGTATTCCTTGTTGTCGGCCATTAGCACTATATCATCTGCGTACATCAATGCTGGTAGTGCCTGTTTAATGAGTTTTCCTTGTTTGACGAAAGAGAGGTTGAAGCCCAGTTCAATTCCCTCTAATTTGGCTTCTAATCCTTGTAGGTACATCATGAATAATAAGGGTGACAGGGGACATCCATGCCTAAGCCCCCGTTTTACCTCTGCAGGCTCGGATACCTGTTTTTCCCACTTTATAACTACCTTGTTACCTTTATAGATATCTTTTAATAATTTAGCGACTACATCTTCCACGCCTAGTGTGTCCAGTATTCCCCACAATTCCTCTTGAACCACGCTATCGTACGCTCCCTTGATATTCAAAAATGCTAGCCACACGAACCTGTGTTCCTTTTCTGCTTATTTCGATGCATTGTGTCGGTGAGAACAGATTGTATTCCAACCTCCTGTGTTTCCGAAACCCATTCTGCAGTTCCCCCAGCACCCCATCATCCTCTATCCATGCCTGCAGTCTTTCCTTTATAATCTGCATCGCCAGCCTGTAGACCACTGATGTCACTGTTATAGGACGGTAGTTATTTATGTCAGCTTTGTTCCCCTTTCAGATCATGCTCATCCTGCTAAGTTTCCATCCATTTGGAACTTCACCATCGATTATTATTTTTGCTCACTGCCTCTCTCAGAACCTGCTTAGACTTCGGACATAACGTCTTTATTAGCATTATTACAATGACATCTGGGCCTGTTGATGACAGGAACCCTTTTCTCAGCCCTTTCCCACTCTCGTTGTGAAAATTAAACCATTGTGGCACTTAATTCATCCTTGTCTGTTGTGGCGCATAAAGCCCTTCTTTGTTGAAATTTTTCTGTCACCCTTGTTCTTATATATTCAATAGCTTCGTCCCCTTCTAGCCTAGCACCTTGAGCTGTAGTTATAAACCTCTGCTCTAGGCTCGTCTCATTTCTTAGGGAGTTTAGATGGTTCCAAAATTTCGCACTTGCCTTTCTATCTTTTTTATGTGCTTCTGCCAGCCACTGAGCTCCCTTTCTTCTAATATTTTCATTGATCAGAAGGGATGCATCCCTTCTACAGCTTAGAAAGGTTTCCCATTTTCTTTCAACGTCATCTGTCGGTTCACCCCGCTGCTTAACATGTCTGTATTCCCTAGAGGCTTCCTGATGTTTTGCTATGGCTCTCCTAACTTCCTCAACCCACCAACGTTTGGGTTTGTGTCTACTTTTCCGGGGTGGCTTGTCACGGGCCTTAGAAAGCTCTAGTTCAAACAGTCTACTTAGATTCGTGTATGTCCACACTGTTTCATTATCCCGAGTGATTACTTTCTCAATTTGTTTGGTGGCTATTTCAATTTGCCTTTCTGAATAATAATTTTCCTATATTTGCTCATCTTGTCTCCTTCCCACTTTCACTGCTGTTCCAAAACTTAGCTTGATACGTTTGTGATCACTACCCAGACTTCTGGAGCCACCTTCATCTATGTGCATTCCCCTGAGCTTATCATACATCCTATGTGACATCAGTGCGTAATCTATCGTCGACTGGAGCCTTCCTACCTCCCATGTTATTTGCCCTTCATACTTCTCGGTACTGTTGAAAATGATCAAATCAAGCCTTTCGCCCATATCCATGATCATTTTGCCTGTTGGGTCGGTATACCCATCTATATCTTCAATATGCGCATTAATGTCTCCTAGTATAATTATCTTGCACTCTCCTCCTTACTCTTGAATGTCCTTTGATATACACTCTACCATTGCCTGCTTTTCCTCTCTAAGCTTGGCTCCCGTCCACAAGTACACGAAACCAAGGAGTGCGATTCACCCTGCCACTTTCCCTTCTAGCCATAAATGTTCCTTGCACTCCTGCTTGACCTTTTGCCAGTCTGTACTTTTATGAATGAATGCCCCAATACCACCCCCCTTTCTGCTGCCTTCTGTTCTATTACAATATTCCCACACGTGGTCCGGATTGTTAGGAGGTTGTTCCATGTCCCTGAAATGTGTTTCTACAAAACCGTATACCATCGGCCTCTCCTCCCTTAGCTGTTCTTCTATCTCTTCCCACTTCAGCCTGTTCCTACCACCCTGCATGTTAATATGTCCTATGTCTGAATTGGCTCGGCGCTCGTGGCTTCGTCTATTTCTGCCCCGGTCTCTACCTATCTTAGATACTGGTGCCACTTTGGAATCGTATCTGTTCATGCCACTTGTCAAAGAGTCTGCCTGGTTGTTTTCCTCGTTACTAGCTATCCTGTAAAGTGAAGGGTCCGCTTGCCCCCCGAAAAAAGCTACTGCGCGTCCTGCAATTCGCCAACCCACCTCATGACCTAGTCGCCCATCGAAGTGAATTCTGTCTCGTTGGAAACCACCCCACCTATGCACCTCTCTGCTTATTTCCACCACCTCAAAGCCTTTCTCTCGACTCATCCGCCATATCTCTTGGTTTGCGTTGACAACCGCTCTTTGCAGGTTGCTATCACGCATCGGTACCTACGGTATCATTCATATCACCTGTACCTAAGGAGAAGTGGCGTGCATGTCATCGACGTCTTTCGCCAGTGTGGTTGCTAGTCCTGCTGTATCTTCATTTAAGACATCGTTTAAACCGCCTGAAATTATCACGAGGTTTTGTCTATCAGCTGTAGTTTTGAGTTTTGCGTTCGCTTGCCTCATGACTGCTTCCAGCTTGCGTCCTGGGAACGCCCCTACTGCAACCCTCTTGTCACCTCTTACCCTCTCTTTGATGGCTTTTGTGCATCAATTTAAATTCTAGTCCCCGGCAATTATCACATGCTGTGACTTTTCAGCTGGAGCGTCCTGCACCTGGGGGTTAATTGCACCTGTGACGCCGGCTGCTTTGTCCCCTCCCAGCCCCCACCACTACTTCGCTGAAGCTGAGCCTTGCGACAATTGAACCGGCTGAATCAGTTTTTTTTTTCAAACTTGCTTGCTCTTTCTTTTCCGCTGTTCTCATTACCGGTTCCCTACTGTTCTCTCCGTAGGGCGCTCTCTGTTCACCTTGGCTAGTGCTTCCATGGAGGACTTCAACCTTTCTCCCATTGCCCTCGTTTTCTCTTGATCTGTCGCCTACGCAGTCTCAAGCTCGGTGATTCTCACCAGCAGTTCACTCTAGGCAACCATCATTTTCTCCATTATTTCCTTGACCTCCATTGCCTACACTTCGCGTCAGCCTCTTCTCCATCCGCTTCTACACTTGGGTCCACTTTTAAACCCGCCCCACATCCTGAACACTTTACAGTCTTTTTAACCATGTCTTTCTGACACCAATTGTCCCTATGACTTGTCTCACTCGACAACTACAAAACTCGAGCCCTGCCCAACGCAAAAGAGAAAGTCTATGCTCTACTACAAAAATTTGCGTGTTCAATGTACGTGCACCTCCCCCACGGAGTGGCAAAAGAAAGAAAACAACAAAAATAACAAAAAACAAACAAACACGCACAAACTAATAAATACCTGGTGACTGACCCCCTAATAGGCCGTACAATAAAATAAGTGCTACAGAGGTTTTAACTGCTGCCTTATAATTATAAAGACAAGTTCAAAACATACAAAATCACATATCTGCGCAGTCGATCGGGAGCGCTCAAAAAACACGTCCATCCACCGTGACATCCGTTTGTTGCCTGACCCTCAGTAGATAACACCCAGTAATAGTTACATCGCCCACATCATGTGATGAGACAGAAGCGTATTATTACCGTGGCAGGACTATACTCATTTGTCTCACTGCCGTAGTTATTACTATCCTGTTTTGCTGTGTGCTGTAATGTCTTAAATATGTTGTTACATCAGCCGGGTTGGTGGTGAACCTGGGCTTCCTTTGTCTTTTTTTTATTCACCTTAGATACGCTTCGTTTAAGATCGCATGTTGTAACTATTCTTACTTCGTTTTTCAGATAGGAAGAAAAACGAAAAACTCATCGCCTGTCTTGAAGGAACTGACGCAGCCGCCAAGAAAGAACGCGTGTTGAAGGTAAGCAGGTCGTTCGATCTGGACATGGCCTGGAGTGTAACCAGCGGCGGAACACACTCAATAAGGACTTTTACACTATGCTAGATGGTCGCAAGCAATCTGCTAAGCCATTTTTTCTATCCAGTATAACAACTATATGCGCGAGAATACCCTTAAGATTGCCCGCCGCACTGAGTGATTGCCAGCAATCTTTCATGCTGGGTAGACGTAAGGCTCCGAATGGGCTACAATTCCCTCACCGCTCGCAAGAGTGCTTCTGGGATTTCAATGAAGGCGAGCATGTTCGAGGTCCGCGTACTTAGATTTAGGCGCATGTTAAGGAATCCCATGGTGTCGGAATTTCCTGAGCCTTCCTCTAAACGTCGTCTCTCATAATCACATCGTTGTTTTGGGGTGGTTGGAACACACGTTATTATTATTATTATTATTATTATTATTATTGTTATTATTATTATTATTATTATTATTATTATTATTATATTATTATTATTATTATTATTATTATTATTATTATTATTATTATTATTATTCTTATTATTATATTATTATATTGTTATTATTATATTATTATTATTATTATAGTGGGTTTTGGCAGAGTCGCATAATCAGAGTACGCGTAATGGTTAAGAGATGCTGAATTTATGCTATTGATGCCGCTGCTAAGAGATCCTGCTGCTTTTGTTGGAATAATACGATGGCACGTAGTAACTGTCCTGTTCTGTATCACTGTGAGAAAAAAGTGATCCTCCGGCGTTTACCGGTTCCAAAAGCAAGTGTCGCTTGGATTTATTATCACCGAAATCATAATCTGACGGATGATAGGGTTGGGCAGGTACATGCACGGCAAAACTCGGCACAGCGATCCATTTCGAAGGAAACAAAACAGAATGTAGTGTGCGTCTCTTGCATTCTTTGTTCTTTTTGTTTTTTCGTTATTATGTTTTCTTTTTCTTTTTTTCTTTAAAATACGCAGCCCCCGCGACGTGCAGTGGCACTTTACTCCACGAAAAGTTAGTGCAACTATCAATTGGCGATTTTAACCCCGCACGTGGGTGCTGAATTTGCAAACATTTCGTCTCGTAAAAGGCCGTGTGCGCTAGCTGCTCGCTTTCACTGATACGTAATACGTGCAGCATGGGAATAATTTACATTTGCTGTTGCAACGTCTGAGGGAGAGTGAGCGAGGCAACCTCATTACGTCCACAATAGACACGAGTAAACTCAGTGTCACATGGTCCGGCCCACTCAGGGACCATCAGGTTAAATCTGGCAGCCCGGGCCTTCTATTTTAGAGGTATGGTTTGGTCCTTAACGAGTTTCTTCCTTTCCTCTTGGGGAAAAAGAGACCGGTAATAGTTTGAAAGTTTTTCTTTGGTTAAGAGACCTATACTTGAAAATCGTCAAGTACGTATAAGGCATAGCTGCAGGGATCCTTCGAGCGGTGAAGTGTTTAAAGCGCACGTGAATGAGGACAATTAAGAGACAGAAGCGAAACTTTTTACATATACGAGGTTGGCTCTCGTTAGCTCTGCATTTCCGGGGCCAACATGACAATCTAATAATCATTCGAGTTTATCAACAAAAGCAAAGGGAGGTGATGACCTCTTGACATGACAAAGTAGCTACGAGGTGGCGGGCCGCTATCTTCAACGTCTTGGTCTAATCGACCTGGAATCGAACATCCAAAGTTCATTCGAAAGTTAACTTAGCCATTGGCTGGACACCTATGCTTACGACATGTCTCTCATCAGAAATCGCTGAAACATTCTCTTATGCACAATTCTTGCGAAACGAGCATAATTGCATAATTTCTCGTGGGATCATTCTATCGCATTCAAGTAAGCGGGCTTTGAACTGAAGTACTCCTTTGTTTCATGAATCTGTCCAAGTCAACCTGAGGATAACGCGATTCGCATTAGCATGCTCCCTCTTCTCTTCTTGTACATACAATGAACAAAAGTTTCTGGCATTTTGCTGTCTCGAAACAGGCTGTGAATGGTTGCAAGGAAGAAGGCAAAGTGAAGGAAGAAATGGTACGTAAAATTTTCGCTAGTTCTTTACCCCCCTAACACATATGCACGGGGAGAACATCTATAATGAACACCTAAATAGTAATCAAGACCTCCTAGAAGCTCATGCACGTTTAACACGTAATTGTGAAATTTATTACTACAGTTATCAACGCCATCATCAGACGTCATGAAATGGAAACTTCCTTCGTGAAGTAAAATGAACGCTGTATTTTTACCATTTTAATTATTACTTGGGTGTTTATCTTAAAAGGAATCGTCGCTGCACATAGCTATCTACGTGCCTATTCTGCTACCGTCGCATCTGCATTAACATTATGGACCAATCAGTGCGTAGAGCATGCCCACCTGGTACCAAGCTGCTATTTGAGTATGTATGCTTAGCACCATTAGCTTTGTTGTCCTGCTGTTCGAACATTACAACTTTAGTCAAAGCGTTATTGGAATCAAATGACATCGTAATGACCTCGCCACTGGCACACTCAGCATAAATGTTTCAATATACGGGAATATGGTAGCGATAATATACGTGGGTTCCATAAAGCTTTCATAACGGCAGCGTTTTTGCAAGCACGTGGTGTACATCTTTTTTTAGCATCGACCAGAACGACATGCTTCGGCAAAAAATACATCAGTGACACATTGCAAAGGAAGTTGATAACACCGATGGCGAAAGCAACACTTAAAGAAGTTCTGCTGCTATAGATGTACGTGCTTGCATCAACCTTGCGATATCGCAGTAATTATTCGCGAACTCATCCAGTTAGGAAGCATGGCGTCATTCTCACACAGGCGAACACGAGTTTGTGCGATTTTTAAGAATGGTCACAATTAGAAAACGGGCCGGATTGACAGCACAAATAGATATGTGCAAAAGCGCAGCGGGTTCTCTCACTTCCTGAACTGGTATAGCGCATTAGGGGAATAAAGGAACTGCTTAACCTACCGACGCAAGAGGACTCTTTTTTTCGTCAGCAGTATCTTCTTCCCTGCTGAGCAGCAGCTCAGCAGTATCTTCTTTCCCGTATTGCGGTATGACAGTGCAAACGCGACGAACCAACTCGCCTAATCTTCAACACTTGGGGATATCTCGCTTTGTTGAGGTAGCAAGGCCTATATTATTAGACACGGATGTGACCTCAGCAAGTGTGACGCCCACGGGACGGCTTTCAGCTCGAGTACCAAATACTCTATATCGTTAACCGTTTTTTTAACACATATCAGCGTCGACAGCGCACATAACGCTTGCCGCTCGGTTTTCGCAAACATTGCTGGTTATTTGCAAGTACACCCTGCGCAGGACCAACAGTCCTTAAATTACGCGTCTCTTGACTTCCACAGAATCGTTCCAAGTGAAGTCTGAGGCCAGCCAAGACGTACGATTCTCCCCTCCTGCCCACCGCGAGATAAGGGCGTGCTAGGGAGCATCGCTCATATCCTCTAAGCGGGACAAAGTACGCGTGAGAGTTAGCCAATTGACTTGCGATTCTTTGAATTGGGATTAAACTGTTTGTATTTATTGCTCAACCTTAAAGCACGATGCGGTCTACGCAAGTTTTCTTTGAAAGGGAAGGTTATAATTCATTAAGACGGAAGCCTTAAACTCCTCTTAAAACGCGAAGATTACCTGTAGGCGTCAGTGCCTTTGGCCTCAACACGAGTGACGCTGAAATTCATTATCAAGTGACAACGTCACCGTATGACGTCACTCCGACGTCACATCATGACATCTTACCATGACCTCGATACTCGTTCATAGATGAGCCGATCAAGGAGGCAGTGCCAAAGTGCGATGGGGGGTAGAAAGCCTACGTAGAAGAAAAAAAAATGTTGCAGCTATGCCGCAAAGGCAAAGCAATGGACGCGATCGCCACGAATTGGAAGGTCATACGAATATTAGCAAGCAGATCTAAACGAGCCTCGCGTTTTTCACGCACAAATAACGCACAAAACGTACTCACAGGTACAAAGGCACGCAAATAAGCGTCTCAGTTGTTACTTCGCTGTGTCTGAAAAGCGTGCGCCTTTCGCAAACGGAGACTGCAATGATTGCGGTAATCTTTGAGTGCCCAGTAACTACAACAGAATCGTTCCAAGTAAAGCCGGTGGTCAGTCAAGACGGACGATCCTCCCCTCCTCCTCACCGCGAGATAAGGGCGTGCAAGGGAGCGTCGCTCATCGCCTCGAAGCGGGGCAAAGTACGCGTGGGTGATTAGAGGGCGCGCCGCCGCGTGATGTGACGACGCGCGCTCATTGCGCCGTCTTGCTGGTAATGCTGAAAACACGATAATTCTTCCCGAGATGCCCGTCAGCAGGGGTAAGTGGTAGATATAAATAGCTTACGGTGAAGGCCGTGCTCTTCGGTTGTTCAGTGGTTAACATTTCGCAGTGATGATTCAGACGACCCAAGTTCGATTCCGCGTGCCGGTCTTTTTTATTTTTTTCTTTTCTGCTATTTTTTTTTTCTTTTCTGCATATACAGATTCCTATACGTATACGGTGAGTGACGGTAACGCTGACGCCAACGTCAAAGTCGACGCCAGCGGCAAAATCCAGTCGAGAGTGTCCATATAATTGCTATCGCAATAAAAACTAGCAGTTGTTCTGGACCCGAACAACAACGCGCCTGATCTCGCTGCAGGCTTTCATGAAGGCGGTAGGATGGAGAGAGCCTCTGCTGCACTCAGTGGGTGGAACGAGTGAGCGTGCGGCGCGCGCAATCGCAGTGCGATCCAGCCCAGGCAAACACAGCTACAGTTTGAGGAGAGAGGGTTTTGGGACGTTAAACCCCAACATCATAGGAAAGAGGGCAGGGAAAAAGAAAGAGGAAGAGAGACGCATCTGGGAGAGAAGTGCGAGTGCTGATGCGGCGGCGAGCTTCGATAGTGGCGACGGTGAGGTGCAGAATTAGAGAGCTTCTCTCCTAACTATAAGATGGCTTTCGCCTTCGAGTCGTCTTCGGCGAATGCTTAGGCGATCCTGTGAGTTTTTGGGGTTGCAGGTGTGCTTCGACATCAGTTTTCTTGCTCACAGCCTCTTTATTCGCCCGCATTTCTCGCTGTTCTTTTTTTTTGTGCGATATGTAACATCTCTCTTTCTCTGTTCCAACAGAAGTCATGCATTAACGAGAAAATGGTAAGTAGCATGTGTCTTTTCCTTCTATTTTTTTTTCAAGAGCATGGCCTGCCTTCAGTATATATTTCAGCCTCGTACAACCCTCACACATATAATAAATTACAGACGGGTCACGGCCAACTCTTGACGCCACGAGTATTAGAGCACCTCTAACACACGCTGTCATAAAGCGTGAACATGAAGCCAGGGTGTCACCTTCTTAAACTGCCTGCTTTCAACTGTGTATAAGTTCTTATACACTGCGAACAACCATAAGGCGGATATTCATTCCTGCTACAATGCTTCCAGGCACTGATTACGTAGTCTATATATAATAAGTATATATATATATATATATAATATATATATATAATATATATTATTATAATATATTAATATATATATATATCTATATATATATATATATAATATATATTAGTCTAGTAGATCCTCCGTGAGCGGTCCACAACGTGGTTATTTCGACGTTTCGGCCTAGAGTCTGAAGGCCAGACTCTAGGCCGAAACGTCGAAATAAACCACGTGTGACCACTCACGGAGGATCTACTAGACTATATGCAACGCTACGGCCACTCAACCACCATGCCTGCCTATATATATATATATAATATATATATATATATATATATATAACTCGCAAACTCGCAACCATGGCTATTGTTGGCACTGACTGACACTCCCACGTTAAATTCACATATGTGCTCAATAAAGTTGCTGGGGGGATAGCCGCCGTGGTAGCTCAGTGGTAGAGCATCGAACGTGTTCTTCGAAAGTCGCAGTTTCGGTTCCTGTCCACGGCAAGTTATCTTTCCAATCACTTTTCTTTCTTCACATTCACATTACAATTGGTCTAATAACTTCCCCTATCCATGGCATTATTGTCTCAGTTAGATATCATTATATTGTGTAAAAACACGGGGAAAAACGAAGTCCTTAATACACTTCTTTTCTTATATATATATATATCTATATATATATATATAATATATATATATATATATATATATATATAATATATATATATATAGTATATATATATATATATATATATATATATTAGACGTTTACTGACGCTTCAGGACAGTGCGTAATACTTAGTCCTGGCGCATGCAGCGCGAATATTGCCCATGGGTATATTCCACTGCCAATAATAATAGTCCATAGATAAGCCATTCGTGAGTCAATAGAGGCTACGGTATTTGCGTACAGCGCACTTCTCGCCCCTTTGTTTCAATCGTTGTGGAGGGGACATTACGCTGCACCGCTTGTTCTCACCTGGAATCATATATTAAATAAAACTATGAAGTGAAATAACCAATAAATATAGAGGCTTACTATAAAAAATGAACGCTTTCTTATCGCCCTGTATTCTCTTTTTTTTTTAGGCATTCACCGATGAAGAAAAGGTATCGTACCGATTTCATCCATTCCCGTATTTTATACCACAGAGCTGTTGCCGTCGAGTATCGCCCTGTGTCGCGGATAGAAATTTGCAATCTCTGTGAACCGGTACGCGATCTCTTCGTCCTCTTCTTCATCTCCTCCCTGTACTTTCGGCCCTGCTTCACTGTAAAAACACGTGCACCGATTTTTCCAAATAAGTAGTCAGCAGCTGTGGGAGGATGCCTTGCGCAGCTACAACCCCTACCTTTAGGAGGCTACCCTGAGTTGGGCTGGGGTGGTAAAAGAGGCCTACCGCGAGTAGAATCCCTCGCCTTCTCGCAGCCCCTTTCCCTTAAGATGGGATAAATAAAGTTGTTTTTCTCTCTCTCTCTCTCTCCAATGTGGAGTGCAACAGCTGTAAGTGGCTAGAAACCGAGTATTGAGCGAACGGAAGAGGAGGAAATGTAGAGAGAGAAAAAATTCCTGGGAGTAAAATTTTTTGCGGGGAGGTGCTACTCGAGCCCGCGCCCCAAGGATTCGAAGGAGGGCTTTCTAACCCCACGGCTATCTAGGCACATTAGCAGAGCAGAGCCTTGTGTAGTAAAGTATAGCGAGTGGGTGGGGAAGAAAGCGCGGAGGAGGATAAAAGATGTGAAAGTGAAGAGGACGGAAAAGAGACGAAGGGAAGAAGTGCAGAGAAATAAATAAATAAAGAAAAAGTCAAAATATGCAAGGTGACAGATTGACCACGGAAAGAGAGCAAGTAGAAAAAAAAGGGGGGGGGGGAAGAAAAGGAGAAAGAAAGGAAAGAAAAACAAAAAGGATACAGAAAGGAAAAGAAACAAATATATATAAAAATAACGAGATACAAGAACACAGACTCGGAGAAGGAAGATAAAAAAAGAAGAGCATAACGTAGCCTTGCATGGTAACGTAAGAAAAAGTGTGGGAAGGGGGGGGGGGGTGGTAGGAGGATAAAAACCTAGCCAAGCTAGGACCATCTTGTCATGCGCCTCTGTGCATGCTGTAAATGTGCACAGTTGTCACGCTTGCATTTTTAACAAAACGGCGCGGTTCGTCACGGAATAAAGAATTACACGAACGTAATTATCGTTCCGTCGAGAGCTTCGTGAATGAACGGGATGAAGCTGATAGAAACGCTTCGTGAACAAACTGGCTGAAATTCATCTGTTGCAATGTAGCTAGGCACGCTGTATTAGTTCGCCAGAGAGGTAACTAGTAAATTTCAGTTTGTTAGCACGACAGTGAACTCGAACTTCTGGTGCAAGCCATGTCCCTTGCCAGGAGCGGTCGTGTTCAATGCCTAAATTGGGCTGACGTCGCTTCGAAACACACCCACGGCCGAACCAATACCCTGTAGAAACATTGAATTCAAATTTACTTACGTGCGTCCGCACTTCTCATAAGTCTTCATTGCGCAAATATGCACGTAAAATCCTTGACCTATACAGTACCTAAGCAAGCTCGAATACTAATTCCTGGCGTGAAAACGGGTAATACCGTGACTTCACGTATTTTTGTTCTTTCTGTCTTTCATGGTATATTCTTGGTGTGGACATCTCCAAAGCAGCCATTAGCATATCCATCTTGTATTCCCGGTGCATACCAGAATATTGCCAACCATCCAATTGTAGCACAAAGCCGCGAGGAAATACGCACGGAGTTCACAGTCACAAAGCTCCTTGGGAGCTGAAACATTTTTCCGGGACTGGGGATCAAACCTGAGGCCGATCCATGCATTTTCTTAGCTTAGAAAAAATAGAAACGTTGTGGTGAGATGGGCAGGTCTACAAAAAAGAACTCCAGTTGGCTACCCTGTACTTAGGAAGGGGAAAGGGGCTGCAAAAGAATCACACAGAAGGTTCTCTAACGACACTACTCTGAAATCAACCCACCAACACCGTCAGCTAAGGAGCTAAGGTTACAACTGAGGTTATACCAACTAAGGTTTTGTCACCTATAAGCTTTCATGAACTACAAAACTTTCCTTGGGATATGCTAAGCCTGTAAGGATTTTCATGCGGTTTTGTGGCACAGTAGCGTGCTTGCGAGCTTTCTCTTTCATAACCCTTGCGCCATCTTGCGGCATTCAGCAGAACTGCTTTTCCAACACTACTGAACATTATTCTCTCTTTTATTCTTTTTTTTTCAGAAATGTGTGGAAGCAGCTGAGAAATCTTAGGATGCGGGATTCCGAAATATAATACCAGGCGAGTGCAGCCCGGATTTTAAAGAAACGTACGCCAATAAAGGACACCAACCACGACGAACCTTTACGACCTTTACATGCACGTGTGCGCAGACGGTTGTTCGCCGAAGGAGGGTGGATTCCACTTGTTTAATGGAATGGCGGCCATAATCCTCGGGCAAATACTGCTTCTAGTTGTGCAAGTGAGACGAAGAAGAGTTTCAGTGCTTCAAAAAGGTCCGAGAATTCTCAGGAAGCGACCGTGTAGTTTGTGGCAGAAACAAACAGAAGAACGTCTTTTTTTAGGGGTGCACGAACACTTCAGTGGCGTATTTCCGTCACGAAATGACGTCTAAAATAACACGAATCAGAAGACAACTCCCGGTGACAGCAAGACAGTCGTGGTAGGTAACCTCCAGCCTGCAGTCGCAAAACCTGTTGCTCGAAGCTTTTCTGTGGCTAGTCAAAGCACCAGTTTGTTACAGAAGTAAAAGGGCAAATACGTCTGACAAACAGACCTCTTGACTACTTTAAGTATGCGCAGAAGAGAAAGGCAGCCATGAATTTTTGCTCCTGTTCTCATAAAGTCAACAAACGTGGTCACCCTGAAATTTTGATGAAAGCTCAAGAAACTTGAGCCTGTACCACCCATGTCATTATTCGTGCAAGCTTTAGAGGCTGGAAAACCACCTCAAATACTTCACGTTTCAAATCAATGCAACTTTTAACTAGTTTAGATCGCATTTAGATATTATCAAATAATCGTTGCTAATATTATCAATAACCTGGAGATTTTTATAACTTTTGTGTGTAACAACTTCTGATATATTATTCGATCCAAATGTCTCATAAAACTCACGAAGTATGGGACCGATTGCACGACTGGTTTTGGCTGTAGCCTGTCACGGAATCACTCTATAGGGACCTACAAGAAACCAAATCGGCTGCGTCATGACACTTCCCTCCCACAGAATAAGACGAATGTTGGCCCTATATCTATAGAGTGACACACAATCTTGAAAATATTATAAATATGGGTTGGTGTACGAGTGGTCCCGTCTGCTCCAAAAAAACTGTCAAAGATATGCCGCAAAGCCTGTTCCCTTCTAAAAAAACAAGGGATTTAAATTAAGCGTCCTAATGACTATGTTGTGTGTGCACAGTTGTTGTTTTATAAAGTTACCTTGTCCTGCGGCCGCACTTACCTTGGCCTGACTGAACGATGTAATAAAGAGAGGGTGAAACAACATCCCAATAAAGTGCAAAAGGCTATCGATGGTGACTTGGCTATTCATTGTAAATGACTGCGGTTGTGTGCCCATTCGACAACACATGCGTTCTATATCGTGACAGAGATTTCTTAACCAGCTCCCACGATGCGCTGAAAACTTACTGTGTCGCCTGAGGTTGGG